TGCTTTTGGAATATGGCAATAAAAGTGAAATGAATGAACATGATAAAATACAAGTAAAAATCACAAAAATGTCCAAATTTACACAACCAATCATAGACACTCACTCAAGAAAATATTTTAACACAATGCTTAGATAACATTTACTCGAAGAGTATATTGCATAAATTAAAGACTGAGACGACGACGACGACTCTTCTTCTTCTTCTTCTTCTTTTTCTTATTATTATTATTATTATTATTATTAGCCTATCATTATTATTAGCCTATTATTATTATTATTTATTATAATTATTACTATTATTTCTTATGAACTTGATTAGCCTTTCCTTTGTAAAGTAATTTTTAAAAAATTTTATATATATATTTACTATTGTAAAGGAGGTTAAACTTGACAAGAGAAATCTTTTATTTAACCTCCTATTGTATATGCTTTTGGAATTTGGCACTTTCAGTGAAATGAATGAACATGATAAAATACAAGTAAAAATCACAAAAACGTCCAAATTTGCACAACCATAGACACAATTATTAACAAACAGTACAAGAACAAGATCAAAAGCAAAAACAATCCAATAACAGGTAAGCAGAGTCTGTGTCGCTCCTACACGCTTCAAGACCAGCCACAATAATATTTTCTAGTTATATTTATTAATAATTCTGTCTTTTTAATAATAGCACTTTCAGTGACGCAGTACTGGTTTTACATGTGGAGTAAATAAACAAAAAACATACAAATGAAAGAAAATTAAATCAGAATGAAAATAACTAATTTAATTTGGATCAGGCAAGAAAACATAACTTTGCAGTGGAAATGATAAAACATATGACAGCCTGGGTTTTGATTAAGTTTTTGAAGGTTGAAAAATTATTACATTACAATATAAATTACATCTAATCTTATTTTGATTGAGAAGGAGACAGCGCAATGGAGTAAAAATTATACGTTGTAGAGTCAACTTCTCACACTTTCATCTTTGCCCATTTTCAGAAAATTTACTGGTCTTCATTTTCTGACTGTAACTTAAAAATGTTTTTTAAAAAACAGTTTTAGCAGTAGGTGATTTATATAAACTAAAAACCTATTGAGGTTGATTTGGCTCAATTTCCTAACTGCGTGCATCATCACTAAATTGCTATTACAACAAAAAAAAACATAAAAAGGGATACAGGTGACAAATGAAACAACCTTACTTGGACAGCCTAACTAAGAGAAGGGTATAGGCTTGATAATAATAATGATATTAATAATAATAATAATAATAATAATAATAACTAGAGATACTATACTCAATAGAACATAAAACCAGTCATTTTTCAGGATCTGACCCTAAAATGGCCACTGTGACTTTGACTCCAAACTGTGAACACCCCATGTTTGGTAGGAGTCTGTCTAATGCAGTTAGTCTAATTGTTTAATCACTAGCAATATGTGATAATTTTCACCATAATGATCTTTGTGACTTGTGACCTATAGGTGAAGAGTAGTTTTTCATGTTTAGAAGGTCTTAAGGATCATTCCTAGTAAATTCGTGCTCAATTGGGCTATTTTGAAAATTTGACCCCGATGACTCCTATGTAACCCCTGATCCCAGACAGGGGTGTAGGAGGTGTCACTGGTTCAATCGTTTGTCATTAGTAAAATTTTGAACCTTTGACATATGAAATTTGACATATGGGGTGAAGAGTATTTTTTCGTGTTTAGAAGGTCCTAAGGATCATTCCTAGTAAATTTGAGCTCAATTTGGATATTCTGAAAGTTTATCCCCGATGACCCCTATGTAACGCCAGATCCCAGACCTTACCTTATGTCAATACCTATGTGCCCAGGAACAGACTGTGCTATGTTATTTGTGACAGAAGAAGTCTTTTATTCATTTTTTTTAAAGTTTTACCCTAATTACCCTTTTGTGACCTTTGACACCAAGCAGTGTACACCCCATGTATGAAAGGTGTTAACGGTTATACTGACCGAGTTTGGTTAAAATCGGCATAACCGCTTGGCACTAGTAGCGTTTTAAAAATGTTGCCAGAAAAAAAATTTAAAAATTACTCCTTAATAACCTTTGACCCCTTATTCCTGAACACCTATAGAATCTGCCTTATTCCAATGTATATGTGCAAAGGACACGACTGTGCTACGTTATTTGTGAGAGAAGTAGTCTTTTATACGATTTTTTGTTTTTTTACCCTAATGCTCCTTATTTGACCTTTGACCCCAAGTTGTTAACAATACATAAATGGGAGGTGGCACCGGTCCTACTGACCAAGTTTTAATTAAATCGGTCTAGAAGTTTGCCACTAGTAGCCTTTTAAAATGTTGCCAGAAAGAATGAAAGAAACTGCTCAGGAACAGAGCTTATGAATTAAATTATTGACATTCAATAAAAGGCTCACATGCAGAAAGGAGGAGAGCTTAATACAAACACGAGTATGACGACAGATAGCGAGGCCTAGGTCTACTTCTACTTCTGGGTTTACCATGATACCGAATTATGCACGCGTCCGATGCAAAAATCTATGTTCAGTACTGGGCAAATATCTCTAGTAGCCACAATTGCTCGCTCAAGAGACCTTCGGCATTTGATTAAATGTCAATCTTTTACTATATCTAAACCTTAATGACGAGCATTTCTGGCATTTAAATATATAGTCTGGAAAAGTAAGTAATTTGGCACATATGTGAGGTCTCACCACGAAATAAGACACATCGTTGGTGAAATCATAGGCCTATACTTACCAGAAAATGATTTAAAACTCTGCTTGCTTAGTAAATCTCGTCATGTAGGTTATGGAACACGTTTATAACATATGTAAAATGGTCTCAAATCAGTCGTCATATGCTGTATATTTGTAATTAAAAAAACACAAGAAGGGCTTAAAAAGAAAAAAAAGACTGGTTTGAAAGTTAAGGCCAAGTTTTTGACGTTAGTGCTGATGTTTTCATACTTGTTGCTGAACTGTCGGTACCGCCCGTCTATGATCAAAGAACTAGAACACAGCAGGAATTTGACTTTAACAATAGAGAACAATAGGAACTCAATCGGATTAGCACGCCTTAATAGGTTGATATAATTCCATTTAATTTAACTGTTCCCTTAGTAACACAAATATTTGGACTGGGTTTTGGAAAACTGAGTTTTGGCAAACTGGGATTTCATGATTTCAGTAAACAACTGGATTCGGCAAACTGAATTGCGACAAAGTGGTCGGATACCTTCTTGGATACTATTGCTATTGGCAAGAATGCACCCTTGTCACTGAAAGAAATTTTGTATAAGGTCCAGATCTTCGTAGCAGCAAAGAAAACAGAATCGAAAGTCGTCCTGCATGCATTGCATGCTTTAAGGAATTACAACCAATGCATAAATATCAACCATTTCATTCTAGAGACATCGATATTGCAGTCGTTGCAACTGAATTTTATGACAACGAAGAGAGGGTCATTCTAGATACAAACAATGGCAAATGCAGAAAGTTATTCAAATTAGGTGACATCAACTTTCACCAGCGAAGAAATCATCCCTTATTGGATCTCATGCTTCTGTAATCAAAGGCAAATTTTTGTTGACATTTTCTGTAACTTTAAAGTTGTAGATGCTCTGTCACGAAAGTTGTCTGAGGAACTTGAAGACTGCGCCATAGAGTTAAGTGGAAAAGCGTAAATCAAGCAAGATGTAAAATGTTTAATAGAGGCAAAAAGATCACAGATATATTTCATTGCTACCACCATGTTTGCTGACCCTTGAGCACTTAGAGCAAATTTAATCGCTAAAGAAGGGAAATTAAGCAGAAGTAAATGATGTTTCAATAAAAATAGTATTAACAACAGATGGAATGAACAAATGAAGCAAAAAAAATTGAGACAGTGATACCAATGGATGCCCAGGAACTGTTTATACATATTAAATACGAAGACTCTCAGTTTGCAGTGATCTTAGCAATACCTGAAGATTATTTCTCAACATAGGGTTACACAGTAAAGGACAAATATGTAGTAAGTGAATTAATGCCTTCTTTATACATGAAAAGTATGGTAGTTTTTTGTGTGGTCCTCTGGAATACCTTGTGTAGTACACAAAAACTATGAACAACAACCGTATGTTTATAAGGAAGCTGGGATTTTTTGGGTGATTCCGGTCACAACAGAAAAGGGCTAATATAAGGGGGAATTTTTACTTACATTTCCAAAATTCGGTAGCTTACCACCCTAATTTTTTTTGTTTAAAAAGTCAACAGCAGTTATTATATTCATGTTTTGTAAATTTAACAATTTTATTTAGGGTATTGAAGTTGCAGTTAAGTTGCTCTTTCATTTTGGCGGCCACTTTAAAAAGCGCCCTCAATTGCCTTCTGAAAACTTCACAATTATACCTTTAGCTAGTTATATTTTACTCTTCATTTTACTCTAAACATTACATATTCAAAAGTTGGTCAAAGCTACCTATTATGTTTTTATTTTACCCATACATATGTATTTTATTTGATTTTGGCTGCCATTTTAATAAAAGCGCCGTCACGCAAAAATTATTAGGTTACAGCCCATTTACCTCACATATTCTGACTTCCCATAAAAATCTGGTCTAGAAAAACCATATGAGAATTTCTACCTCTCCATGTGGCACCTATCTTCATTTTAGCCTGGTCTTAATATGAACAATTGCTTTTTAGCTGTTTATCGTTGATCGTCATAGTGTAAACAGGCCTTAATGTTATGATACTCTCCTTGATAGGGAGAGGTTGCAGCTTTGAATTTCTTTTCGGTGAAGAGCTATGCTTGATACGATTATAAAATCCTGATCCTATTCACACACTGTTATTATTATCTATCTTTTTTATACATATTATATAGGATACGGTATATTGATCTACTGATGTGCCTTTTGACAAGGTGACAACATTTCAAGGTGTCAAAATCCTCGCTTATTGTATCACTTAATTAAGAATTTATTGACATCTTATCCTACATATAACATTTAAAATGTAGAGCAAAACACACTTACCTATCACACACGTCAAAAAAATTTATCATAGAGTGAAGTTTCAATAGTCGAGGTAAACGGAGTAATGGAATTATAATATGATCTGAAATAAAATTTACATGTAAAAGACTAAATTCATATTTAAATCTATAGATTATTTGTAATATTCGTTGGTAATATTATCATTAATTTAACATTCACTTACCATTGTCCAAGTCAAAATTGATATGTATTATATCCGACGCTCCTGTAGAAAATAAAAGTGTAATATTATATTATAATAGGTTCGCATTCATTTCATTCAAATTCATTGGCCGCATATAGACCTATGACATTATTCCTCTTAGAATAGGCCTAAAGATGCAATGCTAATAATGGTTAGTGGCATGGCATCTAAGCGGCGTAAAAGTGCAGTCTTTCTTCTCTAACTCCTAGTAAAAGCAAGCTTCTGAATCGTGTTTCTTCGTAATGGTTGTAACCTCCCAGAGAGTTTAACATCAACTTTTATCAGCTTACAGTATTTGGATTTCTTTTGCAAATTGAACTTTTTTTGCCATGCCTACAAGTACAAGGAGAACCTGGCCTTAGGCAGAATTGCAGTCCAGATACTCAGTGAACACTGGTGACAGGGTGACTGAATGTGCCCTGGCAGACTTTACATACTGTTGAAGCCTCATGAGAGAAAATTATTATTTGCTATTTTTAAAAAACATTTATTTTTTCATAGACAATGAAAATTATGGCTACCTGAAAGTATGATGTCAAAACTACAATACATTACAAAAGATTCATTTTAACTTAATTCAATGCAATTTTACAGTAATGTTAAAAATTATATAGCATTTTCTGATAGATAAATTATAGTTTTCCCACTTGTCTTGCAAACGTAGGTAATAATTATTTATTAAAAAAAATTATATGTGGCATGTATTATATTATTACACATAAGCCTATGAATAATACAAATTGCTTCCAGAAATTGATTTATTTTATTAATAATTGGTAAACAGTTAGGATTAATCCTGGGCGGACTTTTTTAGTTGAATGTATTCTTGGCCAAAATATTGTTACTTCTCAACTTACTATTGTATAATTATGTTGTTTGTCATTAAAAGAATTATTGTATGTTATTTAAGTATGGGCCTGTCAAGTGGTTATTATTAAATACCTATTCAAACAGAGTGGAAAATTAATAAAATAAAATTTGATGAATATACCTGATATATCTTATTATATTTATTATGTATGTGATGTGACTTTGTTTAATACATTTGGTATAAAAAAAAATAGATTTATTTGCACAAGGACATTTTCAATAATACTGGTGATAATATTTTCATGCAGTGTATGACAAATACACGCAGACCTATCATAATAAATAATATCCAAGGGCTTATTTTCTGGTGAGTTTAATTCCTTGTTATTTTTAATTGATACAATTACATTTCATTTGTAAATATTAAGGCTGTTTATGTAAGGTAATTGATTTCTATTATACTGTCTTTAAATGTATGTTACCCAATTATGTGTTCTGTCAGTTTTGTAAAATGTATTTATATGAATATTCAATATCTTTTTAAATTTCTAGTATTATAATTATAATTGTTTTAGTTGATAATTTTTGATTGTACAGTATTTTAAATGTGTTTATATAATAGGTTTTGTTCTACTAGTACCGGTACCATTTTTCGTATATTCAACATTTTTTTTCCCAATTTTATAATTGCATTAATAATTTATTTCTCCAGTACTTCAAATGTTTTAGTATAATGTATAAATGTTAACTATTGGATGATGTTAGAAATAAAATAAAGTTGGTTCTACAGTATAATCTCATATTTTTCTGAAAAAAATAGAAGATTATACTATCATATGATGTTTGATTATCACACTGGAAATGAAGAAGTCATACAGATTTGCAAATTTGGAAACCATACATGAATTTTCAATTTGTACATAATTTTCTTGTGCAGCTGCAATCTCTTTATTCCATGACGTGTACAGCTGCCCAGGAAATTTACCCACTTTCTTATCAATGACTGCTGATATGGAACTAAGGCTATGTTCACACACACGGCGTAAGGCTGGCTTAAGCCTGGCGTAGCGTACGCCTTTGTGTGTGAACTAGGCAGTGGCGTTGTTAAAGCCACTCACTACGCCACGTCCTTGGCGTTATTAACGCTACCTGCAGACCCCAGATTAGCTAACGCCACTGAGCTAACGCCAGTGATGCTTGAATTATTTGACCTCATTTCAAGAGATTGACCAATCACGATTGCAATATATTAGCTACTTTGGTCTCTTTTCTATGCTCTCTATAAATGAAATGGTAAAGGGGTTCCTTTTCTATTGCATTTTACTAAGTTATAATGTATATGATTTATTGATTGTGTTTTGTAAGATATTTTAACCATTTAGACTGTCTATTAAAACATGCAACATCAACAATGCTAGCTGAAAAATCAAAAGTAAAATTGTTCATTTAAAATACAATAATCATATAAGTTCAGACAGGATTTAAAAGTTTTCATGATGCACTGTTAATTTTACTACTGTTAACACGTACATTATTTAAAACTGAAAACTATTCCACATAGGCCTATATTACTGCTAGTTTAACGAACGCCGTTTGTGTGAACACTTTGGAATTTTAGTCCGTGGATTAGCTTACGACTGGCGTAAGCCACGCCAGTCTTACGCCGTGTGTATGAACATAGCCTAATTGGGTTAGGATCTTAATGAGTGGTTAATCTCTAATCCCAAGGACAGTGTAGATAAGACACCAGAAAACTGATTAGCCTGGTTCACGTCGAACTTTTATCTAGATATATATCCACTTAACTAGTTAAAAGTTCGACGTGAACCACTCAATTATAGCTAGATAAAGGAATTAAGTCACTTAAGTTAAGTGACTTAACTTTACTAACTTGCTTAACGGTAAAGTCGGCTCGGATTACAAGGACACGATTACGTAACATAGGCATCTAAGCCAGCGTTGTTGTATTATACCACCATTATCATCTTCTGGCTGGCAACAACGTACTTTAACAATGCTAACGACAGCATCGAAGTAGTCTTATTAGTCTAGTTTTCAGAAATTATTTGTAATACTATGGGTAAAAACCCAGCAAACGTCCGTTTTACGAATAGTCGATATTACCAATGACCTTTGCCCTTTGCATCATCGACCAAATAATATTGCGATTGCGTACGTTTTTCAAAGTGATAATGTATATTTTTCTTAATAATACAATCAGATTTGTTGTATTTATTTATTGACAGTTCAATCTTTTCCATTTCTGCTATAATAGTCGCTAGTAATTAAGTTTCAACGAACTACCACCAACCCAGTCGTTAAAATAAGCGCACATGTTTACGATGACGAAATAAAAAAGTGTGTGGAAGCCAGCAACTTATTTGACACGGCGAAGCTAGATTTTCGCGAAGTGCATGTAAAAAACACAATTGAGCGATCTAAAAACTACAAAACAGGACAGAAAGATCCATAAAGTATACAGACGTTCATTACAATTTGTTTTGTTTTTTGAACCTATTTAATTTTAGTGCGTAGAGTTCTTATCACTCGATCTTAATCTCTCCGCCACACAATGTAGCTCACACAACCACGTTGGACTGTACAACTTTACTTAGAGGGGAATGTTAGGCACCTAATCACAAATAATAAATGAAATATTCTTAAGACAATTCAAACTTTCCTTTCGTATTTATTGTACATTAAAAACTTATTTCAGAGTCAAGAGTTACTGGCATATTGTGTTTTTGGTTTAACATCATATATCCAAAAAAATGTTGATTTATTCAAGGATGTACAATTTCAATTACAATTCTATTTATTTACATTTGTAACTTTTAACATTAATTCAATACTATAACATTTCACCATACGATATTCCAATACTGCACCTAAAATCGTTCATACCGGATGATTTAAAATTACATTATTATTAAGTATTAATCAAATTAAAACACATTGTTAAATTTAGTTTGCGAGTCAATAATTCAATAACTTTACAGTTAATACACAAATAATACAAATTCATATACATCATAATTGCACTTAAATAAAGAATGATTTAAAATGAAACATAACTACAATAATGTGTGTAATACTTGATAGTAAATTAATTACCCAACTAAGTAAAAGTTTGAACTCATACATGCTTAGTTTATTACACAAAATCTGAAATCTAGATCTAAATTGTGACTTGCATAAAATACTGTATACATTTATTGGCACTTACTTATTGCTGTTTTATTATCACTTGAGAGTTTCACTTTACATGATATTACATAAAAAAAAATACACACTGTATTACCCTTACACAAATTATTGCAAAATGATGAAACCAACTTATATTCACACACTTTAAAAAATAATAAAATAGAGTACAAATATCAGATTACTACATAATTCTTTATGCAAATATACACATTAGTTTATGTACAATTCAATTTTTGGAAGGGCAGCCGAGCCTGATACAGAAAAAATAGCACATTGAAAACTTACAATACTATAATTTGTAAACTGATATTCACACTTTATTTAGACATGTATTTTTATTATGACCAGTGAGATTGCAAATTGAACAGAAATACCTATGTACAACACGTGCACAAGTAGGGGCTAGATGTTCAATCCTGTTTGCTTTAAGTAGAATCTGTTGCAGACAGTCAAGTTGTTTGTGGCTAGTGGCCCTAAAGTACCACTTTGTGTATATGTCATTTATTTTTTCGAAACTTTGTTGCGAAAATCTATTTATATTTCCGTGTAAACTAACCGATTCTGCAAAATGATAAGCCAGGACATGCATGTAAGGTGTAACATCAGTTGTCATATAAATCTCTTTATAAAGGCCTACCCATGATTTTGCATCAGCACTGAATGTGTTTAGCTGCTCTATATTCATATCACTTCGCATCCTGATATGCAGTGATCCAAAATCTTTCCAAATTGTGATTATTGCATTAATTTTATTGTGCCATGGCATCAACGTCCTAAGATCAATTTTACTTTGTATACTGTAAGCCGGTGCCCAGGTCCCCTAAATGCACGGTATGTCAATAATTTTGTGTCTTTGTCTATTGAAAATTTCCATTAGATACCTAATCCTTGTATAAAGAGCTGAAAATTCTGTAAATTTATGCATTTTGTTAAGTCAACATTTTTTTTTATTTTTTTCAATTTTGTCTTTTGTTACAAGTTACTTTATTAGTTGTCGTATAAGT